ATAGACCAGAATGCAGTGCAGCTTAATGCCCCTGCTGCGTTTGGTCATTTAAAAAAAAAAAGGAATCCTGGAGAGTTGAACTAAACACTGACGGAGACAGTTTTCAAGTTAAAGCTCAGGTTGGTAATCCTGGAAAAAAACCTTCACTCAGGTTGACATGGGAGTTTTTATTTTGCACGATCCATCATCTGCACGAGGTCGCTTCGCCCCCGGCTGACGTCGGGTGAGATTGATCACAGCTGCGGACGATTGAGTCCTCAGTTAATCTGACCTCACTCTGCATGTGTCCGGCCTGTGGGAGGAAACCGGAGAAAACCCACGCAGAAAAACTCCAGGAGAACGAGTAACTGGGAAACGTCTTGCTGTGCGACAGTGTGAACCGCTGCTCCACCGCGCCGCTCAATTACCTTTATCAAAGGTAAATCTCACTCAACATAAACCCAGAGAGCAAGAATGATTTAAATCCTCTGATCGGAAGAGGATGTTGTTTGTCATGTAGTATATGTATCATATATATTTTGTCAGGACATTGTTGCTCCTCTACAGAGACGAGATTCTCAATATTAAGAATCCCTTGCTGTATCTACACGAGCTCGTTCTCACAACATAATTAATCTTTTACTCTGTAGATTTCCTCTTTACCAATAATCAATGGAATGATGAGAACAATCTGCTGAGTTCATTTCGTTAGATCAACAGTCGATTTACCGCTGAATAATATTTTGAGGATTACTTGTTAGTACCAGTGGTGTTGAAGTAAAATCTGTTATAGTACCTTTATGTACAAAAAAGTTTGGCCCTGATATTTTACAAAAGAATCAGTGTTTTTAAAATAGATCCATTCTACTGTGTTTCATGTGAAACGGTTTCTCTCTCATCACGAGTCCGTCAGCAGTTTCACGTCACCACACTCTGGGTGAGATCACTGGTCGGCGCACTCTGGGCGGGGTCGCTGGGCGGCGCACTCTGGGCGGGATCACTGGGCGGCGCACTCTGGGCGGGGTCGCTGGTCGGCACACTCTGGGCGGGGTCGCTGGTCGCTGAGCTGCTGGTTAGTTTGGGGCCGTAGGTCGCTTCTGTTTCAGCCTCCAGTCGTCTGTATCTCGTGTGGAAGAAGATGACGAAGCAGCAGCTGAACAAACTGCACAGTCCTGCCATCACCAGCATCGGCACTGAGGGCGAGAGAAGAACCGGATTCGTGTCAGGACAACACCTCAGAAAAGATTGGTGACTTATTTCTATTTTTAAATTTGTGTTAGGGCTCCAGAAGCCATCGAGGTTCCATTAATATTTAATTTGTGATAGATTGTAAGTGAAATAAAAACAGGGGAAGACATTTTCAATATATTGACAACCAAAGTTTCCTTGTACATGTGAATATTCTGAACTTTAATAACTGAAGTCTCTCTCTGAAACTCAGGTTTGATTCCCAGCCTTGGTGTAAACGTACTCATGTGACCTACCTTTCCAGCTCAACACCCCATCCCCGCAGGTCGACAGAGGAGAGTCAGCGAGCCGTTTGGTCAGAGCCTGGAGGAGGACGATGTAGAGAACAGACTGAACCTGTCTGGAAAAATCATGCCGTCATCACCAGCATGAATTTACACACGTCCGGCAACTGATCAGAGTTTATTTTCAATATTAAAACATAAAAATAACCCGTAACAAATACAAATACTGTGAGCTGGACAAACAGAATTTACTCTACGCTACTTTGAGGGACCTGCGTCCCTCGTGTGTGGTTTGCTCAGAGAGTTGTACCCCGATATGAAGATGAGCCCGGCTGACGTGGCCTCTCCGACCGGATACGAACACTCCACGGAAAGCTCCATGGCAACCGGGTAAATGGAGAAACCGAAAAAGCCAAAGAGGGAACAGACGGTGGCCACGGCGGCTTTCTGCTGCCGCATCAGAGACACCTGAGAGGAGGTGAGCAGACGAAGAGAAGGAACTTCAAATTGAGTTGATTTCATCAAAAGCACTTGACGACTACATTTTCAGTTTTTAACTAATGGTGCTTTCAAAGACTGTTTAGTTGCTTTTGCTTTAAACTAGTCCTGTGTCATGTTCTCACCACTGAGAAGGCGATGCACGCCAGAGCGCAGAGGCTCATGTTGATCTTTGTGGCTTCGATGAACTTCTTGGTCTTGTCCACATAGAGTCCCAGAACGCCGGCGCCGACGATGCCGAACACGATGAAGAGGGCGCCGCACAGGCCGGCGAAGTTCTGCAGGGGTCAGATGTTCTAAGTTCATGTATACACGAGTGTTTCTGAAACATTATGAACATCAATAACGTGAAAGACAAGATTTCAGTTTATTAAGAACGAATTAGAACCTCAGTCATTTCCATGGAGATCGTGTGGCGTACTTACGTTGGTGTATCCCTGCACACACAGGATCTGCTCCAGCAGCGTGGAGAAGCAGGTGAACACAGCGATGCCCGAGCCGAAGCACAGCAGCAGGATGAGGTAGGATCTGTTCTTCATTAACTAAACAGGAAACAGAGCTGGCATCAAACATCTGCTGATGTTTAAAACACGTCTCTGACAAACTATACACAGTTATCAGTTCAGTCGGATAATCAACACAAAGTCTGATAATTAACTCTTTGTGCAGAAATCGCTTTGTGGTGGAAATGTCACGGATACGTAGGAGCATCTTTGCTGACGGTAGAAATGTCATCACCTCCTCCTGACCCGTTTTAAATGTCAGTCGCTGCAGGTAGAAACCGCATCACTGCAGGTCCACGTGCTGCCGCAGCAGAGAGGCGCTCGCAGCAGGTGGACATCAAAAAAAGTTGTGTGCAGAAATCAGAACCGAAACTTTTTTTTTTGTGCAAACCTTAATACTGTTTATACTGCAGGTGCAAGTTTTTAATACATCATATTCAAATGTAATATTATTTGTTTTTAGCTAAATGTTTTTTATTAAGTCATGTATGTTTTGTTTATTATATATGAAAGTTTTCACCTTGTGATGCCGGATCAAAATGAGTTTGATAAAAGACAAAGTGTTTCTCACCACCCGGAGAATCCAAGTCTTTAAATATTCGCTCTCTTTCAGTTTTCGTTTTTTTAGTCTCTGCGAACTCCTGAGGGAAAGAATTACATTTATAGCAGCCAGATGTTAAACTCTCTTCACCAGCTGCTCTCGAACGTTGTTGTGGATACGTGTATATATATATATGTCCTCCAGAGAATGTCTGTAGCAACTGACTCAGACAGCATGAAATGGTCGAGGTATATCTGAATCCTATAAAACATCCTCTTACAACTATTTTTGCAATCGTATGGTTAAAATGACGACATCACTATGAAGTTGGAGTCGGACATTTTCCCAAAGGACAAGTTCCTTAAAAAAAACTCCGGAGCATCTGATTAGTGTCGCCACAAACACCCGCTCGGAACGTTTCTGAAAGTTGAGGCGGAAACTCAAGCTGCTTCTGGCGATGAATCACAACGAGCTGACGTGTTGTCACCGTCACCTCAGACAGAATCTGTAGAACAATAACACCAGTGTCATGCTCGTCTCTCCTGCCTCTGTGTGTTCTCACCAGTTTGATGCCCTGCACAAATGGCTCTGAGCCGGAGGACACGGCACTGGGCGACGGTGGCGTGGGGGGGGCGCTGTTCCGTAGCCCTACTGTTGCTAGGAGACAGATGAGGCATGCCGGCATCGCATAGACAAGCAACTGGAGGAGGGAAAGAGAAGAGACAGAAAACGTGATGGTTAGTTGATGTTAGCGTGTGAAATTAAGAAGCGATCCTTCGCTGAACAGCGATTCTGGCCAAGCTGCTGTTTTATTGTACATTCTGTTTTTAAAAAGCATATTATCAACTTTTAGTGTTGTTTTGTCCGGAGAGTTAAACACTTTCATATTTGCACATTCAGCAGACGCAGATCGACAACATCATCGTGTGGAGCCAAGTTTAGAACCAACTGTTACTCTGGTTTTTGCTCAGGTTTGGTCTCATGAGAGAAATATCTCCCCTCATTAATTCTCATATTCAGCCTTGAAAGCACAACACTCCCTCTGTTAACCCTGTTTCACTTCTTCTTGGTTTAACTCACCAGCTGTGGGATTTGTGCAGATGTTTGAGCGATCAGAGGAGAGGCGATGTTAGCGAGGAGGACGCCCAGGGGATTTGCTGAGGAGGGAAAGAGAAGTGAGTCCCGGGGGGTTTTTCTGCTCCTCATTTCAAAGTTCAGTCTTATTAAGCTTTTGTTTCTTTTTGTGTGTTAGCCACTCCACTTCTTCTCCTCAACCAAAATTCTTAAATTACCTTGAATTTAAATTTAAAAAAAG